CTCTGCAGTTGAAAGAGCAAAGAGGAATACACAGATGTTTCATCCCTCACAGTGGGATACGGTTGTTTCAATGGCCAGAAAGAGGAACCCTTACATAGTAATTCCAATGACCTTTAGGGACTTCTCTGACGTATAATCTCTTCGCAAAAAAATGTGCAACAACATGAAAAAGACAGTTAACAATAAGACAATAAATTGGCTACTTGTTAAATGGATAAAGGTAGATAAAGCTTCCCCAGACGCAATATCTTTTAATTACTGTTTTGAAGAAGAAAAGTTCCAGACAGTTAATGTGCAACAAAGTGGACTTCGGGGACGTTAGAGGGCAATGCAAAGCATCACTCTGGCTCCTGCCTATGATACCAAATTGCCTATTTCTGAGGACAAAAAAGCAGATCTGCTATCTCTATGCAGCAGTGGGGTGGTTCCTGCAACATATCACTCATAATATGATAATCTTCCCTGTGGAAAATCCATCAAAGATAACTTACCAGAGCCAGATATGGATGAAGATGACGTGTATGAAACATAAAAATACTGTTCCAGACAAATGCCTGTAATAAAATATTAGCTATCTTTGATATTTTGTTTACTTTTGACATGTTAAATGACAAACATAAAAGGTAATATTAGCATATAGAACCTTTTTGCCTTACTTAGTTCGGTCATTTTTACCTAGGGCAAAAATGTTGTATGTGCTTTGACCTACGTTTTTACCTTTTATGTATGGGACTTCTCTTTTATAAACAAATACAAAATACTTCTATATCTTCCCAACAATTGTGCCAAATATTAACTCACTTTGACGAAAACCTTAATTTTCAGAAGGTTTCAAAACTTAAAACTTGATTTTCTCAAAACAGTGAAAAATGTAGATAGAACCTTTTTGCTCTGAACCCTCGATTTATTGGTAAATTTAAAATTTATTTATAGCATTGGGTTTGCTCATTGTGGAAGGCCATACAGTGACTAATATTTAAGTAATTTAGCCTCTGGTAAAGTGTTGTCTCATTGGCAATCATACAACATCTTCTTATTTTTATACCAAAATAAGGTTGCATTAGATGTATTTATTAAGCCCATTTTGGTTTTATGCTGTGAGAATATTACATGTATATTTGTGACTTTCCAAATTTGCTACATCAATTGCTTCTTGATGAGATTATTTCAGAAACCGAAATGTGTATAACTAGACGTAAATCAATTTAATAAAGTAGGGTCAATTTCCCTTGAATTTCTTATACTCACCAATGTCAAAAGCAATAAGTTATTAAAACCAACAAACATGAAATAATTTGTATCTAAAAGACCCAAAAAATCACAAACCCTGAACTCCACCAGAATTATGGTTTTGGTTAAGAATGTCTTTCTTATTTATTTTTTTTATTTAAATATCAGACAAACTACCAGAATTGAAGTTTTGAACCATTTTTCTTCATCTTTAATTTTGTTACATGTTCAGAAATTATATGTCTTAATTTTATTGCAACCTCAAATAACACAAATGGAAGCCTCATACTGTGAATTTCAGTAAAGATTGGAGGAATATTTGCAAATTGCAGTGGCGTGAAATAAATATAGGAGAAACTGGCCCTACCTCATTGATATTCATTTGGATTTGATACATATTATCTAAAAAATTCTACTTTTCATATCGTCAGAAGAGGTACACATGTACGTTTACAGTACCAAACAAGAAGGGCTTCCGGTTTTGTCTTCGTATCGAAAATCCCATCCCGTCTTTGTCAAAGAGAGCAAGTTCTTGTGTTGACGTTAGTTATACCAATTTTGTTTTTAACAAACGGTTTCGGACATTGCCTGGATTTAATGAATATCCACACGTGCATGTCTGTGACAATAACGTTATTATAAGATACGATAAGATAGTCTTTATTTCAGACACAGAATGCCCATATCAAAATAGTTTGTCTAAACAGTCATAGTGGTAGTTTATATACATAATTACACCTTATGTAAGAATGCTGCATTTTGATTGGTTGATAACCAGTGTATTTTTTTGCATATTCTAACCTTTTTTCTTCATTTCAAAAGAATTTGCCTTTTTTTCACCACTGCCGGTGAATTTGTCGCAAATACCATGGTATTTGCCATTTTGGATATTCCTTTTTTACCCTCGCGAGCCTCTTCCCGCCAAATTATTCGCAACGTTTCTCTCTTTATACCGATTATTAAGGCAACGTGATTAAGCAATATTGATTGATAGAGATAATCCGAATACTGTAAACAAAAATGTCAGCTCACACGGCTGCAGGTGGTCGTGAGTTAGAAAGATTTGGTACTGCTGAAGATGACGATATCGATGATTTGATGAATGATGTGATGGCAAAAAACACTAAAAAATCAACCAAGTTTGCATTAAAACTAGTTTATGACTACTGTGTGTCTAAAGGGTTAGACGCAAACATCGAGGACAGAAGCCCAGCCAGTCTGAATAATTTGTTAAAGGAATTTTATGTAAACATTCGCCAAGCAAATGGAGATTACTATTCCAGGAGTAGCTTTTGTGTCATTCGAAAGTCCATCAATAGACATTTAAAGCAGCCGCCACACAACAAACCTTTTGATATTATAACTGATACTGCATTTACTACGGCAAACAACGTCTTTAAAGCAATGTGCAAGAAAATTAGGAAGGAAGGAAAGGGACAAATTAAACATAAAAAGTCCGTTGCCAAAGGTGATATTAAGAAACTGTATAAACATCCACGTGCATTCAATGTTAATTCACCTTCTGGACTATTAAATAAAGTGTGGTTTGAGGTTCTTTTATATTTTTGCCGGCGGGGGCAAGAAAATCTCCGTGAAATGAAGCCACAAGACTTTCAAATTTCTGAAGATGATGAAGGGAAAGAATACGTACACAAAATTTCATCTGAAATGACAAAAAAACACCAGGGAGTAGAAGAAGAAGACTTTGAGCCGGAAGGGGGCAGAATGTATGCCACAGGAACCCCAATGTGTCCAGTTTTGTCTTTCAAAAAGTATCTAGGTAAACTTAACCCAAACCAAACTGCATTTTGGCAGAGACCAAGAGATTCTTTTAATGAAGAGGATGAAATATGGTACGAAAATAAACCCCTTGGGAAGAACACTTTAGGAAGTATGATGAAAAACATTTCTGAATCTGCAAATTTATGCAAAATATATACTAATCACTGTGTGCGAGCAACGTGTATAACTGTTCTTAGTGATTCTGGATTTGAAGCTAGACATATCGTAACTATTTCAGGCCATAGGAATGAGCAGAGTGTACAGAACTATGTTCGTGACACATCCACAGCGCAGAAGCGTGACATGTCTGCTTCAATTTCGTCGTATACAGCTGCAAATTCAACTGCAAATTTAGATCAAAACAATAACAATGAAAATATAAATAATTCTGTATTTGATGTCAATGTCTTTATGAATCAGATTTAACTGAAGGTCAGTGTGATAACATTTTTGAAAGTATTCAACAGGGAGAAGCTGAATTACACCCTCTTTCCGACTTAACCAACAGAAATCCAACAGCACAGACTACTGGAATGAATAAGCACCCTATCGTGTTTAATAACTGTAATGTTACCATTCACAATATTTCATAAAATTCATGTTTTGAACATTAATAGTTGACACTGTTATTTTTCATGTTTCTGTTTGTATTACACATGGCATATTCATTTTACATAGTGTTTTATTAAACAAAATTAAAGTCTATCAATCTTGCACACTCAATTTATTCACATAAAATATTTGTTGTGGTATAATTCCTAATGAGATCATGTAATTATTCACAAATGCAAATTATGCATAAACATGTTTATGGATTACAGCTTACTACTTCTGGTAACAAAAAGATTTCCTTTGACCTGTACAGACAATTATAATCAAAATAGACTCGGTGTAATTAAACAGATATATCATGTTATGGAGGGGTATTTGCGAAAAATACCAGTCTTGGGACCAAATTTCCCTCGCCTTGCGGCTCGGGAAATTTTACAGTCCCTCGACTGGTATTTTTCGCAAATACCCCTCCATAACATGATATATCTGTTCAAAATACTGATTTATTAATGTAAGTAAAAATGACCATATAATCACTGTGTACTATATTCTTACAAAGTTAAATTATATAGTAAGTCACTACTGAAAATTTGCCAAATAATTCAGAAGCTTTCCTGCGACTCAACAGACTAAATATTGACTTTCTCATGAATTACAATGGCGGTGTCAATTTTTCTTCGACTAGTGAGTTTTAAATGTTACTAAGTATATTCCGCCTCTTTTTCTTTCCTTGGGAGACATTACATTAATCAAGACAAACATGTTGCTAGCACTACAGCTATATTCATATCTCATTATTATCATAAACACATAATTATCTAGTACTCGCATTTTGTTGAAATAGAAAGAAACAGACCTATAAAGGTGACCTATACTAACATCTGACTCGGTCTTCTTTTCAACTGGGTTTTACTGTGCGTGTATTTCACATTGGCTAGAGGTATAGCGGGAGGATTGAGATCTCACAAAACATGTTTAAACTTGTCGCATATTTTGCGCCTGTCCCAAGTCAGGAACATCTAGCCTTTGTTAGTCTCTGTGTTTTTTTAATTTTGTTTCATTTATATGTTTCGGAGTTTAGTGTGGCGTCCCTTTTGATGAACTATTAAACATTATTGTTTGGGAGCCAGCTGAAGCCCGCCTCCGGGTGCAGGATTTTCTCATTGCGATGAAGACCCATTGGGCGTGGCCTTGTGCTTTTCTGCTCTTTGGTCGGGTTGTTGTCACTTTGACACGTTCTCCGTTTCCATTCTCAATACAAGTTAGACCATAAATATTCATGTAATATGAGCGAATATCTTTAATCTTAACATAAATAGAACTTTTAAGATGCTGTGGTTTTTTTTTTACTGTATTTATTGTATTCCTATTACGCATTTAGGATATGGATGTAGATAACGGCAGTACGGGAATATTAAACCAACTTGAATTGAAAATGATGAGTATATTCATTTATTTGAATTGACTTATTTACTACAGAAATGCAATACAGATGTGAACTTCTTTTCTTTTTCTGTTGTTGTTTTCTTCTCTTTGTTGAATGTTAAAAATTCCAAAAAGTTATCAATTTTGAGGCATTTACACAACAAAACTAGCTAGCGATTGTTCCCAAATAATATTCTTGTTTACATTATTATACTCCGACGGCACAGAAAGAAAATTCAACTGGTGCTAAGGTGAGTCCTAACTTTCCTTTTGTTGACGGCAAATGGTCGATATCGGCAGCATTAAGTTTAAACCTTTGTATGAGTATTGTTGCAAAAAGGAAAAATTCCATTCTGGCCAATGACTCGCCAAGACAAACTCTTCTTCCTATAACAAAAAACCAATAAGAACATTAAAATCAATATTTCAAAGTAAAAGCAACTTCTTTAAAAAAAATCTTGCCTAAATATAGCCGTTATCGGGCATTTTGTATCCCGTAGAGACACCTATTAATTATTGTACCTTTTATCAAACAAACCTCTTTCGGTATTTAATGTTGTAACTGGTATAAACCGTCAATAGTACATTCTCAATAAAAAATAAAACAAAAAAATCTTTAGTTACCGATTGAGGTAGGTAAAAGACTGTTTATAAAACAAAATATCTTTATTTACGGATTTAGTGTGGATAAAAGACTGCTGAATAAAATCCTTAGTTACGAACTGAAGTGGGTAAAAGACTGCATGCTTATCAAAATAAAAATAATCTTTTAGATTAGTTACAGATTTAGGTGTTTTATTCACCCTGTTATATTTCAGCAATGTGTAGGGGGTACTTTAAATGCATATGCAAGAAAATTCGATTAAAAGGTAACATAAGACATGTAAAACGGATTATTTCAACAATTGTTCATTGACACAAATTTTCCCTTTTTTCGTATATTGTTTTATTGTAAGATGTTTCATTTTTTTTTTATAAGGAAATGTTTTCGAAAGAATTAGGTCTTTCTATCCATAGGCTTAGATATCCTTACCCAGATTTTCCACCACTTTTTGGATTTTTTGTAAAAATAAATATTCCAACTGTTTTGATTCGAGCGCCCCTGACGAGTCGTATGTAAATGAAATTCATGGCTGTCGTTCTAAATTATAAGCCTGGTATCTTTGGCGATTGTACACAAAGATCACAACGAAATGTTATCTGCATTTTGTTTCACAGTTATGAATGTCATTTGTAAGTTACATGTGCAACCATGCATTATTTAATTGTTAAACATGCAGGATTGATTATGCAAAAAACAAACATGATTTTTCATGCCTTTTGGTTAAAAGAATTAAGAAAGTTCGTTTTGATTAAGCACTTTTTGAGAACAGAAATAATATAATAAAAACACTGTTACCTAATCCAAAAGCTAGAACCTTATCCAGATTAATGAGCTTTCGGTCTGTATCTAGAAACCTTGTAGGACAAAACGCTTCTGGATCGTCAAATATCTCTGGGTCATATAAGACGGAATGTAAGTTAGGCATCAATTGGGAACCTTTTGGGATCACGTAACCCTTATAATTAAAATCCTTCGTCAGTCCATGAGGTAGAGTAAAAGGTGCTATACATCCAAATCTTAGAACCTCATTTAATACTGCTTCCGTATAAGGTAACTTAGGCTTGTCCTGCATACATGGATATCTGGATGTTCCTATGACATTGTTGATCTCCTTTCTCATTTCATCCTGAACTTCAGGGTGATTAATCAGCATAGCAATAAACCACTGCAAAGCTGTTGATGTCGTGTCAGTCCCCGCTACAAACAAGTCTCCTATTGTACAAGTAAGTTGCCCGTCTGTAATATTTAAAATTAAAATTAAGAGACAGTATATGTTATAAACGTATCAGTAAAATAATTAGCCCAAAGTGCTTAGAAACTATTTCCGGTAGTGTTTCTTTTTGCTGTAGTATTTAGTAAACAAAGAGATGTGATATGATTGCCAATGAGTAGCCTCATCAACAATTTTTATTTTTTTTAGTCAAGGACAGCATAAATAGTTTTATATGTCCGTAATATGGGTGGAATTTACTTTGTGCGTCTTTGATAAACTATCATCCGATCACACGGGACCCCAAAGAAAGAAAAGAAATTACGATAAATCAATATTTATCCTGACAATTCATATATGTTCAAGCAAGTGACCGTGTATGCACGAAATTGGAGATTTGTTCTCTAGAGTCCTGTAAATGCATGGTAACTCAAAGACGACTTTTAACTGCAAAACATATCTCTAGGAAACAAAATATTCTGCCGAACTGACTTCAAAAAAGCTATTATAATACTAACAATGAACACTGCCCTTTCCTGGATCTTGATATCTTTATATTTAACGGGAAGCTTAATACCAAAATTTATGATAAAAGAGATGATTTTTCATTTCCTATTGTTAATTATCCATTTTTGGACGGTGATGTTCCCTTGTCGCCATCTTATGGTGTTTATATATCTCAATTTGTTCGATTCGCTCGTGTATGTAACAACGTATTTGATTTCAACGAATGAAATCTCTACGGAAGCCGATAAGGGCCATTCAAAAAAAAAAATTATGTCGTAATTACGACATAGCATGTCGTAATTTCGACATAACATGTCGTTATAACGACATCGCTATGTCGTAATTTCGACATAACATGTCGTTATAACGACATCACTATGTCGTAATAACGACATCGCTATATATATATAAAAGAATATGTATTATGATTGCCAAGAGACTTAATGACACAGAAATTAACAACTATAGGTCATCATAATGGCCTCAATAATGAGAAAGGCCCCCGCATAGTCAGCTATAAAAGAGGGACGAAAGATACCAGAGGGAGAGTCCCCGACATGACAGCTGTTTAATAATTTAATTCAAACGAATGAAAATAACGGTTTTAATAATGTACAAACAAAGACCGAAAAACGAATATGTAACACAGCAACAAATGACAACCACTGAATTACAGACTCCTGACCGCTATGTGATTATAACGGCAACCTTATAGTTTAACTTTTCACTTTTTGATGCGATAGGCATTTCAAAATGGTTGTCAGTAAAGGCAAAGTTTGTAGCGGAAACAAATTCATCTTTTTTTTTTTTAGAATAATGAACACTATATGCAATCAAGCTTAATTAAAGTTATTCACTTGCACCTCAGACTTGCACATACTAAAACTTTATTTATAATCAAGTCAAATGAGACCCAGTTGAATAGGGGAGCAATTCAAGCTCCTTGGAGCCTCTAATTATGTTTGGCATGTACAGATTTGTGTAAATTATGAAGTCCTGCATTTCCATTGCAGGTTCTGAATAAGATGAATTTTAAGCTTTTCCCAATAAAGACTATGTTAAACTTTGGACTCATAGTGCTCAGACCCACGGATCTCTGTACCTTCATTTGTACACACTTGAATCTTAATGTACAGTAACTACTGAGGCTTGATGCAAATTATTACTGCATTGCTATTGTTGGTTCTTAATGAGATTCTTCAAGCGTCCTCCCCATTGAAGCCCTATTAAAACTTTGTACCCCAAGTTCTTTTAACCACTGTTCCCCAGGGCAACTATTCCTACAAACTTAAGGGGAGAGTTAGGATTCCGCTAACATGTTTAACCCCGCCACATTCTTTATGTATGTGTATGTCCCAAGTCTTTAATTTACATATTTGTTTTTCGTTTATTTTTGTACATAAAATAGCTAGTTTTTCTCGTTTGAATTGTATTACATTTGTCATTTCGGGGCCTTTTATGGCTGACTATGCGGTATGGGCTGTGATCATTGTTGAAGGCCGTACGGTGACTTTAATTGTAAATTTCTGTGTCATTTGGTTTCTTGTTGAGAGTTGCGTGTTTGAACAAACCAGCGTATCCCAAGGCCTTGATAACCTCTGTAGGCCCCAAATAAGACGAAAAAAAACATCAAAATTGGAGAGAAAACTGAAAAAAATTGTATCTAACCTCAGGGATATTAACCCTTGACTATCTTAGATTTAATGCAATCAGTATGCATCAGCATCAGGGTACAGCTCATTTGCATATCATTTGCATATTTTTACAAATACTCGAAATTTAGACAATTTCTGATAACAATTCAGCATGCCAAGGGTTAATATCCCTGAGGTTAGAAACCATTTATTTTCTGTTTTCTCTCCAATTTTGATGTTTTTTCGTCTTATTTGGGGCCTACAGAGGTTATCAAGGCTTTGGGATACGCTGGTTTGTTCAAAAACGCAACTCTCAACAAGAAACCAAATGACACAGAAATTAACAATTATAGGTCACCGTACGGCCTTCAAAAATGATCACAGCCCATACCGCATAGTCAGCTATAAAAGGCCCCGAAATGACAAATGTAATACAATTCAAACGAGAAAAACTAGCGGCCTATTCTATGTACAAAAATAAACGAAAAACAAATATGTAAATTAAAGACTTGGGACAGACACATACATTAAGAATGTGGCGGGGTTAAACATGTTAGCGGGATCCCAAACCTCCCTCTAAGTTTGTAGGAATAGTTGTCCTGGGGAACAGTGGTTAAAAGAACTTGGGGTACAAAGTTTTAATAGGGCTTCAATGGGGAGGACGCTTGAAGAATCTCATTAAGAACCAAAAATAGCAATACAGTTATAATTTGCTTCAAGCCTCAGTAGTTCATTAAGATTCAAGTGTGTACAAATGAAGGTACAGAGATCCGTGGGTCTGAGCACTATGAGTCCAAAGTTTAACATAGTCTTTATTGGGAAAAGCTTAAAATTCATCTTATTCAGAACCTGCAATGCCAAACATAATTAGAGGATCCAAGGAGCTTGAATTGCTCCCCTATTCAACTGGGTCTCATTTGACTTGATTATAAATAAAGTTCTAGTATGCGCAAGTCTGAGGTGCTAGTGAATAACTTTAATTAAGCTTGATTGCATAAAGTATTCAATATTCTAAAAAAAAAAAAGATGAATTTGTTTACGATACAAACTTTGCCTTTACTGGCGACCATTTTGAAATTCCTATCGCTTCAAAAAGTGAAAAGTTAAACTATAAGGTTGTCGTTATTATCAGATAGCGGTCAGGAGTCTGTAATTCAGTGGTTGTCATTTGTTGCTGTGTTACATATTCGTGTTTCGGTCTTTGTTTGTACATTATTAAAACCGTTATTTTCACTCGTTTGAATTAAATTGTTAAACAGCTGTCATTTCGGGGACTCTCCCTCTGGTATCTTTCGTCCCTCTTTTATAGCTGACTATGCGGGGGCTTTTCTCATTATTGAGGGCATTATGATGACCTATAGTTGCTTATTTCTGTGTCATTTAGTCTCTTGGCAACCATAATACATATTCTTTTATATATATAGCGATGTCGTTTTTACGACATAGCTATATCGTAATTACGACATAGCTATAGTGATGTCGTAATTACGACTTGTTATGTCGAAATTACGACATAGCGATGTCGTTATAACGACATGTTATGTCGAAATTACGACATAGCGATGTCGTTATAACGACATGTTATGTCGAAATTACGACATAGCGATGTCGTTATAACGACATGTTATGTCGAAATTACGACATAGCGATGTCGTTTAAACGACATGTTATGTCGTTATAACGACATGTTATGTCGTTATAACGACATGTTATGTCGAAATTACGACATAGTGATGTCGTTATTACGACATGTTATGTCGTAATTACGACATAAATTTTTTTTTTTGAATGGCCCTTATCGGCTTCCGTAAATCTCTGTATTACTGAAAAATTAAACTCTTTTGAACTGAATTTTTACTGTGCATATTGCTATGTGTTTCTTTCTTCTACATTGGCTAGAGGTATAGGGGGAGGGTTGAGATCTCACAAATCATGTTTAACCCCACCGCATTTTTGCGCCTGTCTCAAGTCAGGAGCCTCTGGCCTTTGTTAGTCTTGTATGTTTTTTAATTTTAGTTCATTTATAATTTTTGGATTTTAGTGTGACGTCCATTTTCACTAAACTAGTGCACAATTTTGTTTAGGGGCCAGTGGTCCTCCGGGTGCGGGATTTTCTCGCTGCGTTGCAGACCCATTGGTGGTCTTCAGCTGTTGTCTGCTCTTCGGTCTGGTTGTTGTCTCTTTGACATATTCCCCATTTCCATTCTCAATTTTACTTCAGCGAAATGAACACCAATACATTTGATTTTGAATATTTTAGTTTTATTAATAGTAAGTTTGTCCTAACTTTTTGTCCGTTTATAAAAAAAAGCGATTAACCAATTAGTGCTTAGAAAGCATAAAAATCCGGAATTGCCCGTCAATGGTAACAAATTAAATCTGACATATACTAGTAGTTATTTCCCTTTGCCATCAATCTACGATGAGACAACTTTCCAGAACAGGCTATAATCATTTGTGTGGATTCAAGCAACTGTAATTCACGGTGTGACCGTCAATAATGAGCAAAATCTATACAGTATTGTCAACTATAAAATGCCCCACATGACAAAATCTAAAACAATTTAAAGAAAATCTAACTGCCTGATGACTATGACAAAACATATTTTCACTTACGATCAAACGTAGTTTTTGGATTGCCTTTCTCTGATCTCATTCTTTTCAGGAAAACATCGACATAATCTCTCAAATTATTTTCATCAAATGTCTCTTCATGTTCCTTAACTATATTCTCCAGATGCTTGCGCACGACATCAGCATTGGTTACTGTACGTTTTATCCCAAAAGGGTCACGTGGGATGTATTGAAGGAAAGGAAAAGTTGTAGCAAGCATTGTTATGTTAACACTGTTGGTGTTCTCTTTGATTTTATCCAGTAATGACATAAATCGTTTGTCAGTGTATTCGTACCGCTGACCAAAAACTATAGAACACGTTATGTTAGAAAAAGATAAATATAGAAGTTGCCTGATGTTGAATGGCTGTCCAATCTTTTCCTCGATAAGCTTCATTAAAACTTCAGCTTCTTCCATGATCTTTGATTCCAGACTCTTCTTACCAAATCCAAACTCGCGTAATGCTCCTAATGTAAACGTTCTGTGTTCTTTCCATAAGGAACCAGATGAGCTAACTATTCCTGAAAAAGCATAAAGATAAAAACTGTTGTAACACAACAAACACATGCGCACGCAGCCTTATGGTACCACTGCAACCAACAATACATGCAAGATTCCCTTCCACATTAGAGGTTTGGTGGGGTTCGTGTTGCTCAAATTTTACGTGTACTGTTTTGTGGACTATTGTTTGACATTTCTTTAGTTATTTTTTGCAAAAAAAAATAATTAAAAAATGGTGATGTTTAGGGAGGATTATAGGAGGATGTGCATTAATTTATAAATGTGAACTAAATATGTCCACGATTATTTTTTTTTCAAAGCTGCGAATATTTGCAATAACTGCCTAACCCACATAGCCATAAAGATTTTGGAAAACTTCAAATTTTCCAACAATTTTCTATATCAAATCTGCACGTCTTCCTCAACCGAAACTCATACTAATAAAGTACATGTAACTTCGTAGGAAATGACTTTAAACAGAATACAGGTAATACAGAAAACAGATAGGAAACTGATATTCTCATATAACACTAAATATTTTATAAATTCTGGCAATACAGAAAAAAGTCATAACTGATTGTCACCGTAGCTTTTTATCAAAAGAGTACATCTATATACTATTACTATACTATATGTTGTGTGTACTATATTTACTATCATTTACGCATTCGTTCATACATTCATTCATTCATTAATTCATTCATTGACGGACAGTTAGAAAAAAGACTTAGGCTATGTTCTACTCTGCACGAATTTATAATGCATGCAACCCCGCCACTTTTTCTATTACTATATATACAGTGTACTCGTACTAATGCGAGTTTCACACTTTAGCATGCACGAGCTACATATGGGACATATAACTTTTCCCCTATTTTCAGGTAAGCACATTTACTTTTGTAGGCCTTATAATGCATGTATTTCTATCCAATTCACAACTCATATTAAAAGGAAACTTCAAGTTAACATTTGAAATAAATGTTTATTATAATTATGTATTTTCAGTGTGAATAAATGGTTTGCAACTTTATTATCGTCACTATAATCAACGCCCTATTAATTAGAACCAAGTGGTCATTTACCCTGTGACATGATATTTTCAAACACTTCATTATGTTCTTCACAGCGAACTTTCTTCTGTACTATTGAGACATTACATAAAAAACTGTGGAGAGCAAGCATATAGTTCCTTTGAATTTCGGTTTTGGTTTCGCCGGTAGAATAATAAATGTCTGTAATATGTACAAATGTACCACAACAGCAACAGAGTATACGTATATTAATGCCATCTCCGTTTATAGTTTGCGTTAAGTAAAATTTCCTCAACATACCAACCAGTCAAGTGAAAACAACGAAAATTTGACCACATATCTAATACAATAATAATCTAATACAAATGCGTTGTGTTAAAATATACTTTTTCACTCATTTGGTCTTTTGGAAATTGTTGTTTATGCTGTATTTAGACCCCTCTACCAAGAAATTTGTTTTGCATGTACACGTATAAAAACTGCGGTTTTTATCCAACGCAATCATAGGTTTGAACGTTGTTTTCGATTTAGACTTGTATATATATATTAATGTCTCTTCAGTGATGTTAGGAATCGAAACGGTATTTGGAAGGCCATATAATTTACCTCAATTTAGGATAGACTCTCAGGGGCGTAGCTAGGTATCCAATAAACTGTAGGCACAAATTTCGACAGGGTGTCTGGGGGCCGCGGAAAACGGTTTTCAGCATTTTAGTTGCAAACTTTTGTGTACAAAAAAACATGAAAACTGGTCATTTTATCATGATAATATACATGAAAAAAATTTCGAAGAAATTATAATATACATAATTTTACAATTACATCTGACTGATGAATTAACCGGCAGTACAATCGGAAATATATATAAAAAATTCGTAAGGGTTCCGCGGAACCCAGTGTCTCGCCTACTTTTGCTGTTAATCGCAGGCTCAACAAAAATGAGGAAAAAAATCAATAAAAATATTCCTTTAGATACTATCTTTTGATTGTAAGAAGCTTCTGTCAAAGTTTGGTATAAATCCAGGATAGTTTATGAATCTAATAAATGTTTTAAAAACTTTAACTGCAGACTGTATTTAATGTTAACTGGTAGAAAAAGTAAGTCCACTTATAAGTAAAATACGGATAAACAGGTACAAAATTTTAACAAATTTCCATCTAGATACTAGCTTTTGATCATAAACAAGCTTCTGTCCAAGTTTGGTACAAATCCAGGATAGTTTAAGAAAGTTATTAAAATTTTTAAAACTTTAACCACAGAGTGAATGTAATGTTTCCCGGCAGAAAAACTAAGTCCATTTACAAGTAAAATACGGAAAAACAGGAATTTTATTTTTACAAAATTTACTTCTGGATACTATCTTAATATGATCATAAACAAGCTTCTGTCCAAGTTTGGTACAAATCCATGATAGTTTAAGAAAGTTGTTAAAATTTTAAAAACTTTAACCACAGAGTGAATGTAATGTTTCCCGGCAGAAAAACTAAGTCCATTTACAAGTAAAATACGGAAAAACAGGAATTTTATTTTTACAAAATTTACTTCTGGATACTATCTTATGATCATAAACAAGCTTCTATCCAAGTTTGGTAGAAATCCAGGACAGTTTAAGAAAGTTATTAAAATTTCAAAAACTTTAACCACAGAGTGAATATTTGTGGACGTCGCCGCCGCCGACGACGACGACGACGACGACGCCGACGCCGACGGAATGTAGGATCGCTATGTCTCGCTTTTTCGACTAAAGTCGAAGACTCGACAAAAAAAATATTTACAATATGCATTGCCCAGCGTGGACCAGCGTAGCCCTTTATTAAGCACAACCTGTTCAGTATTTTCATATCTATTCTTTTCTGATTGAGGATAATTGATATATACGTCAATTGATAGTACATATTGACGATCCTACATTTAAAAGAAACCTTCACCGTCCCCTGGCTACACAAACACATACACACACAGTCGATGCCTCATGCAGAAGTTCTGTTCTGTTCATACTATCGAACAAAATTCAAGAAATTTATATTTCCTTATATCCATTACTGTAAAATCCCTACCTGCTTAGGAATTTGAATAATTATGGTCATTACACGTAGATCTGAGAGTACTCGAAGTTACTGAAAGCTAGTTGATTGATTGCTAAACGTCCACTGGCAAATAGTTCATGCATGTTCAGGAGAAAAACAAATTTTCAATAAATACAACAGGTAGCTAGGTCCTGTAATAGTGGTCGTCCAGGACGAAGGTCTGGAAATTTGGAAACGCTATGCATTGGAAAATGAGGGTTTATTGGATAGGAACAGAAATTTTGCCTTTCAGTAGACCACCTACGAACCCCTCAAAGAGTTGTTGCAATTTCTTAACGTCCAGAGAGCGTGGCATTCTCTCTACACTAGGCATCGGATTTAACGTCCCCATTCTGACCAGACGTTACTGCGTATTTATACATACTGCACAGCCAAACGGAGGCCCAACTTTGGCAAGGGTTTTACTGTAGGTCGGATGAAGACCAAGTGGAAAGCTAGTTGAAAGCCAACAACAACTAATTAAAAAAAATCATGTGTCTAAGTTAAGGTTCATTCAAGAATTTGTTGATAGAAGTGAAATCATCTGAACCAAAGTTCTAGTTTATTGTTTCTATATAAGGGGGAATATAATGACATACAATTCTATCCAATACTCCATTCACTAAGGATGATAGACTAGTGTACACATGACATTCGATAATTAATGAGTTTTGACGACTTCACTGGCGTGCATCTACAGATAACGTTGACTTGTTTATTATTTTTTTTAATAAAAAAAAAAATATTTGTGAAAAATTATGTGAAGGCACGTGCCTAAAGTGCCTAACGGCAGCTACGCCCCTGACTTGAATTTTGAAAGAGTCAAAATAGGAAGAACGGATCATATAAACCCGAAGGCAAATATAATACAAGCCCAAACAAAAAAATATAAACAAGTCTAAACTGAAAACAAGATGTAACAAAATAGATCTTATTATTAATTTATTACCAAACAGAAAACTATAAACTTGCGGAAAAGATGGTATACCGCAAACATGAGGTGCAAAAATTTGTACACCATATCCGGATTTCGACAATTAATGTCTCTTCAGTGATGTTAGAAATCGATACGGTATTTGGAAGGCCATATAATTTACCTCAATTTAGGATAGACTCTTCAAATATACATGATATATATATATATATATATATATATATAAGAAAATTATTAAAAGATAATAACGGTTTCAATTCATCACATTTACTAGCGCTTTCACTGCTTTTACAGATCTTCAGGTAATGTGACTTGTATACAAAACAATATATATCTATATATGAAAGAGTACACATGCAATTTAATATGTTTTAGAGACAAACCTTTATAATGACTAAGCTCTCGGGTAATAAAAGAATCAGCGCGTTCTGACGTCACATCTCCATTTTTAACAAAAATTTCCTTCAATGCTTCCAATCCGTTCACAACAACCATAGTTTTTGATCCCAATATCAAGCTAAACACATCTCCATAAGTTTGCCTAAAACCACGGAAATTCTCTGGTAGATTGTCTAGTTTTAAATTTAGGTTGCCGACAAATGGAACTGTTGGTGGTCCAGGCGGCAAAGTGTCATTTCTAACTGTCTTCGTCCACAGAATATAGAGACAAAGTACACACAAACATAGCAACACTGTCCATAAATCTAGCATATTCACACTCAAGACAGGAAACGTACTTATATCACTGACTTCGTTATTCTATCTCAGCTTTTACTTACAGTTATATATATACTATTAATCTTTGTTTGATATGCAAGCTAGTATGAAATAATATTTCATATTGCAAATGTTAACATGACGAAATACTTACTTGAACGATTTTGTGATAAAACGATATGGTCGTTAACCTTCAGTTCTAAAAATAGACCATAAACAAATATAAAATTGAATTTGTTAAAAGTGCATACATTTTGATAAATATGACCTAAATAAATTTGCTGTGTTTACATATTTAATAAAATGTATATGAAATTAATGTTAAAAAAGCAAAATTTTATATTGAATATCAAAAACACTTACGGTAATTGATAAACTTAAGAGATTTTTCAACAACTTTACAGTCATGATAACAATTTATATATTATTCAGCTCTTTCTGTACATTGCTTTTGAAAACAAGACAAATTGCAAATTGTGTGTGTTTTTCTATAATTTTGCGTAAACGAATATTACATAACCAACATTTTACAAAAACAAATTATCCAAAAATTCGTTTTGTTTAAGATTGTCCTTATATCTATTTGCTCAGGGTTTGTTGCTCGTGCTGTGTGGACGCAGTAGAATGTGTCCCCGTGATTGTGGTGTATGCCCTTATATTTTTCAATTATGGGTTGTTTGCCTGTGAGAGAGCTTTCACATGTTTATTATATCTTTGTTCTTAATTGTTAATTATAATTAATGGTGTTTGGATGTATAAATACTCATCCACGCCTGCTATTTTTATTATTGCCCCCTGCTATGGTTTTACTTAGATTTTTTACAATCTCTGTTTTTGCCCTGTGTTTGTTATATGTCAGTATTGTAATACTTAAGTCTTTACGTCGGGCCTTTTATAACAGTTTTTGTAAGAGTTCTTTTACTGCTTTGCCTATTATTTCCTATTCCGTATTACAGTTACAGGGGAGGTAATGACGCCGCTAACGTAAAATGTTATTTTTCGCGACGTCAAACTGTGACTTATCGAGAAAAGATGCATTTTTCGACCGATTTTTATCATTCAGACTGATTGAACTTGAAAACGAGTTCACGGACCCCTCTTTTTAAAAATGACATTAGGCTTGATTATGTATGAAGATTATTGGTGCCAATTTTTATGAACAAATCACCGATGAATTTTTTTCAAAATTAGATAAATATAACGCCAAAAACGCCGTTTTTTTTTTACTAAAATCATGAAAATATGATAAAAATGAATTATTTCCAAAGAATTGTTACACAAACTCAAAACACACTTATGTAGAGAAGATATTCCAGGTGCTTTTACAAAACTCCACTTGCGTTTATCTTTTGAAACAAAAAAGTAAAGGATGTCTTTCCATTGGATAGAAACGTCCAAGAAACCGAAATGTCCAGTAAATGTCTAAAATTTCGACCCCATTTATCTCTAAAAGTGGCACATGAAGGTATATTTTTTATTACATATTTGAATTGACTAGGTGAAAAATAGCTTGTATGCAAACTTTCGTCAAAAATTCACCGTGGGATCAAAACTGTATCGTATGCCCTTAAACAAACGTATTTGTAATGCCTCTACAGCCAGATTTTTTAACAAAAATGCACGTGGATATCCACAAATTTTCCCGTGCAATGCCAAAAAGTGACTAACCTGTTTTAGATCAACTTCACAAAATACTGTAAGGTCAACAGTGAACTGGAGAGCTTTTTCGCTCTCCTTTTCCTGTGACATTACCTGAAAAACTCAAAACCTTATATATGTGGTAACTTGAACCCAACCTAAGTGTGGTATTCGATATGTGGGACAGACGGGACAAGAGTATTACAAAAGAAACCAAGAAAACCTTTACCGCTTTTGTAGACCTAAAAAATTCAAAGGTTTGATATATCAACATTTAGATAAGCATAATCACAATCTAAAATTTATAAAATTCCAACCACTTGAAACCGTTCAGAAACAACCAGGAGAATCACACAAGCAATTTGAAAAATCACGTGAAGTTCGCGAATTATTTTGGATAAAAAGACTTCAAGCAGCTTATCCTCTCGGTCTTAATGACAAAATATTAGGACAGGGGAACATAACTAAAATTTCAATCGATGTCATTAATATTGTCGATAAACGACTTAGAAATAAAAGGTCTCATGGCAAACGCAAACACCGTAATCAACGTATTAAACATCGTATAAATTATACACTTGCTGATCTGTTATCTAAAATAAAAAATAATGGCAGACATCAAGTATTATGAAAACTGGGTCAGATACCAATAAGTAAATTATATGCTATTTTTCTGGAGTGTGATAAAATTTCTTTTTTTAGCCCAATGTATGAATACACCCGTATTATTACAGCCTTTGTCATCATAGGCTATTTCCTAGTATCGATAAACCTGAAAATCCTAAACGGCATTTTCTTAAATTAAAATATGTAAATAGAGGTATTGATTTTATTAACTTATCTAGTATATTCAATGACTCTACCATCCAAAGCCAAATACCTCCATATTTTAATAATATAGAACCACCTATTATTTCGTATTCTTATAAAAAACCCAGCAGAAGTTTGATTTTTAATTATACGTCAGTTACATCAGACGTCAATATAGAAAATAATGTTCCTTCCACTTGAGACTGTGAAACAACTAGTTTTAGATATGTTCCCTATGGTCATGTCCTTACAGGAGACCTCAACATCGTCGAAGACCGTGAGGACATAATTTTTCTTAAAAAAGGACCGAAATATCGGCTTCATCTAAAATAGATTGGAAACAGTGTCGTCAGGTCATTAAAGACGCTCTGTCTGTCTACTGTAAAAATTGGTGTACACGTGAAAAATCTGATAAAAAAATCTCTAGACAGTTATTTGAATAAAATTATGAATACTGGTAATATTTGTATATCTCATTTTGAAAACAATTCTGAAATTAGTAATAGGGTCCATGATATTCCCATTTCTAGAATAAAAAATAAACTCCAAGTACTCGCAAAGCGGTTTGTGTTCGTACCGGCAGACAAAGCAGCAAATAATGAAGTGGTGGTGTGACGCATATACTACACGGAAGTTCTCCAAAACGAAATTACAAATTCATCTACATTCAGGTCCGTAAGCTCCACAGAGAGTCAAATTGTAAACAAGCATATCACTGCCACTACCCAGCATAAAGCCTCTTCCGAACATTTGAAAGTCCCTACTATGTACTGGTTACCTAAATTGCACAAAAAACCATTTAAATTCCGTTTCATCTCCGCATCTAGTAAGTGTTCTACTACCAATCTATCAGTGCTTCTAACTACCTCCCTTACTACTATCAAAGAACTTGTTATTAACTTTTGTAATAAAGCTTATGAAAATAATTGTATTAATTATTTTTGGAGTGTTAAAAATTCTTTAGAGGTTTTAGATAAAATACATGCTTTTGATGGTCCTTTTAATTCTGTTGACAGTTATGATTTTTCTACTCTCTATACTACACTTCCACACAATCTTGTTAAGAAAAAGTTTTCATATTTAATTAAATGGTCTTTTGAAAAATCTCATTACAAATTTATTTGCTGTAATTCGTTTAAAGCCTTTTTCTGTAACGAAAAAGGAAAGTATGCTAGATACACTTACTGGAAATGTGAAGATATGATTGAAGCTTTAAATTTTCTCCTGGACAACATATATGTACGTTTCGGCGATAAAGTGTATCGACAAGTAGTAGGTATTCCTATGGGCACTAACTGTGCCCCTTTAATAGCAGATTTATTCCTGTATTGCTTTGGATCTCAGTTTATCACCAAAAAACTCAGTAAAGACACGTCATTGTTACATTTGGTTGATACATTCAGCAATATCTTCCGTTATCTAGATGATATTTTTTCTCTAAATATAATACCGAAATTTACCCAAAAGAACTTACTTTAACTAAATCTAACATAAACAGCAGTAGTTGTCCTTTTCTAGATTTGGACATTTCAATCTCTAAAGGAAAACTCCATACTAAAATTTACGACAAAAGAGACGACTTTTCATTCCGTATTGTTAATTTTCCTTTTTTAGACGGCGATGTTCCTTTGGCTCCATCATACGGTGTTTATATATCCCAACTCGTTCGTTATGCCCGTGTGTGTAGTGATGTCATAGATTTTAACGATCGAATCACTGGTAAATTATTAAGTCAAGGATTTCATTACCATAAATTACGTAAAACTTTTACTAAATTCTTTCATAGATACAAAGATTTGATTAGTAAATTTGTAGAAAACTGATTAAAAACGGTATTTCACATCCCAAATTTTACGGTAATATTGTACTTAAAGCGCGGAAATCACTATGTGATCCGTGTAAACTCATCGAACCTTTAAACAAACTTATTAGTAAAGGTTATCTTACCAATGTTGTAATTAGATCTTTGAATATAGTTTACATTGGCACTAATATCGATTTTGTCATCAGCAATTTAAAACATGATAACTAAATTTGTATTCTTTTCAAACGGGATGTATAAAGACACACCACGTTCATTTTGATCTATAAAGAGGTTAACTCCTAACTATCCTACTGCCTGTCGATACATTTATTTTGGCATCGCACAAGTCATGTCTTCTTTGACTGTCCATGACGCTAAAATACTAAATCCCTGGGAGGCGTTTTAGTTGATTTTAGTCTCTGATGCATGATTTTTTTATTATTAATTGTTTTTGGCTTTTAACTAGCTGTCAGTAACTGCGAGTACTCTCAAATCGTACTTTCTTGTTTATTTGACCTGTTGATACTAATTGTAATGCTTTTTTGTTATTTAATGTTATTCAGGGTTATATCTGGTCTATATACCAGCTTTGATAAGTGTTGGGTATTACTATAAATTTTCACTTCTCCGTACTATGAACATCAAATTTATTTATTTTGTAAAAATATTTCCTTTCTCCATTTGAACTGTACACGTATACCTAACAACAAAATTATTTTCATTTACCTGTGTTTAAAGTAATTGCAAATGGCTGATATTTTTGAACAAGCATATTGTTTTTCTTAAATTGTTTAACATTTCACAGCGGTATAACATGTTACTTTAATTATTCTTCCCTTAATTTATTTATTTTGTATGTACATTGTATCATAGATCAAATTTATTTGTTCAGTGTA